GAAAATTTAAGGAGTTATTATTATGTACGTTTAGATGATACAACCGGTAGGATACTTTTGCACGTTACTGTATATAACAATTGATAAAATATGGCCCAAATTAAGTTGTCAAGTTTGTTTTACATTTAATTTTTTTACTAAGACACATATCTTGGGTAATAAGTTGGTTATAGACATAATAAATTAACGTTTTTTTTTATATTTATTTCAAAGCACCACCATTGTTACGGTTTTCAGAAAAAATACCTTGGAGATATGAATTTTAACTTTTCTATAAAAGTTTATTATTATACTGTAATGTATTATTACATCTTCATATACAACTTGTTAGAATGACTAAAGGACCTGAATTAACAGATTTTGAACGTAGTTTTATCGTTGGTGCTTGGAAGTTTTGGTGTTACGGAGGAAGCGATCGGAACTCACTTCCACAAAACGGATCTTCTATAAATGATGTCACAGAGTTTGTCTCTCATCACTAGGCGACAAGTTTTGTTTTCGCGTTGCTGTTTTAAAATTACCTAACGTTCTTTTATTATTATGGTATCATGGCGTGTGTAATGGATTACTATATTCACATAACACACCTTTTATTCTTTTACATCAAACGCTATACTGTTCATTGTTAAAGCCATATCCACCTTGCAAAGTTGTTGTAATCTGGAAAGCTATCCTACGATCTCCCAACAGCGGCCTCCATTACAACAGTTGACTGTGGCATGCAAATGGCATCGGAAATGCTAAATAAAAAGCCATCACATCCAGCAACCCTTCGAGGGTGTAAGTTTGCCACTTTCGTCGGATCTACTGGTTTTCCCTTAAATCTCTCGAACTTCCTGGTAGTGATGCTTCTGCTGGTGGCGGTAAAAAAAATTGATGCTGCTTGCCATTTGTAGTTTACGTTTTACTAGGACGAGGCAATTTATAGATAACGCTAACAACTTATCAATTAATATACTTTTAAGATCGATGCATTCAAAACTAAACGATTTGTGGTATATCATATAATATTAAATTGAATTTTATTGGGCGTTTATTCATTACAACATAAATGCAGAGCTATGGTCATAATTTTAACCGACATACCAGGAGTAATGTCCGCTTTGCAGGTGGGACGGTATCGATACGGTCCCTTCTTGTAATTTTTACGAGTTTAGGTTTAAAGCGCTCTGCAATCCGTTAGGTCTCTCGGTTTGCCAACCACGACAAACATCTTTTAGGTTTCAAATTATTGTTAACACAAATAGTAATAGCTCACAGCACGCAGTCTCGTATTTATGACAATGGCCAAAAGCTAAAAAGGAAAAATTTTCTTGATCTTGAATGTTAGTATTACACAGTGAAATTCACTTCAACAAAGATCGCTTTATAACAAAGCTTTCCAGAACAAATTCATCTGTTTTACATAAAAGACAGTTCACTTAAGCAAACTTTCAGGTTAACTATGGAACGAATTCTTCAACCACATGATCATATGGGATAGAGATCGTGTATTACGTTAATTAATTCTTTTGTTTATACAGTAACAGCGAGTGCAAGTTTCTTTTGCTAGACAGGATTATTGACTTCATATGGTAATCTTTTTGTTCTAAATGTAATGCTCGATTTCTTCGTCATGGATGCTTCTAACGACTGAGACTTGAACGTAATCTTTAGTAAGTTGTCTTATAACAATAATAATTTCACACTCTACTTAACCTATTGCTAATTCAGAGAGACAGCTACAAAGATAGCCACAATGAAGTACTATATATAGGAAACGACTAAAAGGTCAGTGAATAATTAACTGCAGTTGTAATTATTATTACCATTGTTAAAATTCTTTGTGAAATTTTGGCGTAGATTGTACAAAGACAAAGGGTAGTTCATCGTTTAACGTGATAGTTTGACTATTTCGGCGATGAGACGTTTCACCACCGTTTTGCATACAAACAAGGACAATAACAACGTATCTATTTTTGTCACTTATCGCAATTGAAAATGATTGCATTGATTTGCAGAAATGGTTTTGATTGAAACGTTTATGAGAATGGGTATATAGCATAGATTTGACTGAAAAGTAAACTAGCAGAGGGTTTAAGATATTAATATATTCATCAGAGTTTCTGGTTTATCTAACGTTCCTCGAGAGAAAGGAGAATCTTAATGTATCGGGTGATTAATTTAACCGACTAATACTAAAATGGTTGATTATGATGTCAAATTCAGCTAATTTAAGTCGATGCTTTTATTTCAAATTAGGACATAAACCCATATTAGGAAATTAAACTTTTATGTCGACTTGGGAATAGTTTATTTTTATGTTAGCAAAAATGGCTCAAGTACCGTACGTAAAAATACCAAGTCTCCAAAACGTCAAGGGGAAAAGACCAACTCATGAGCGACAACAAACAAGCAACAATAAGCCCTCCCCCTCAATCATAAATCTTGTACTATTTCTATACAATTGCTTATGCATTCGATGCAACACACCGTTTGAAATGTACGTATTCTGTTCTACAAAGCACGTGTTCGGATTCAATTCATGTTCGGTAAGAATGTAAGCACTTGAGCTACAATAATGATTACTTTCTTTTCCCAGCAAGCGCGCAGTGTAGCGACACATTTGACAATACTTGTTGCTGTTAAAAAGGAATCTGGCATTAGCGTCCCTGGCTAAAAGATTAGTATAATACATAATAGGCTGTAAATATTTGATTATTTATATCGTACAAACAACGTTCTTTTGACCAAATAAAGTTAGTAAAATAGATGTTATACGTCATTCTAAAAATAACCTAACCTTATTACATACATCACCAATTGAAAATTGAGATTCCTTCAATCTAACCCGTAGATAAAAGACCAGCAGCGCAAATGATAAGAAACTTCTTCCGAGACATCAATTTCAAGTAATTACCTTAGGTTGTTAAAAAAAAAAAAGAAAAGAGATAAATCATGGCTGCAACACCTCCACCCGGTGCTCTGCCTACTGATGCTGGAGGTGGTACTCCTCCACCAACTGATGCTGGAGGTACTCCTCCACCAACTGACGCTGGAGGTGTTCCTCCACCCGTTGCGACGCCTACTGATGCTGGAGGTGGTGTTCCTCCGTCTACTGATACTGGAGGTGGTGTTCCTCCACCCGTTGCGACGCCTACTGATGCTGGAGGTGGTGCTCCTCCACCGCCTACTGATACTGGAGGTGGTATTCCAAATGCTACCCCAACAGACGCTACCCCACTACCAACAGACGCTACCCCACTACCAACAGACGCTACCCCAACAGACGCTACCCCAACAGACGCTACCCCAACAGATTCAGCATCAATTACAGACTCGTTGACTGACACATTATCGACACTGACTACATCGACTGCCTCAATTGAACCAACATCTACTCAAACACCGAATTCGCCTAAACATTCTAAAACGTCTACAGGATTAATTGCAGCAATATCTGGAGTTGCCGTTGCCGCTGCTATTGTATTATTAGTTTTGGGAATCTGGTTTTGTCGTAGACGTAAATACAAGACATATCGACGACCTGCTACGCGTACTGAAACAAAAGATGCACAGATTGGCTATATTTTAAGAGGCGAAGGTAATGTAAATCCTTTCATACCCAGTGATAGCATGACCCCCCCAGTAGGAGGAATAACGAGAGGAGAAGATCAGAGATCGTCAATTTCAACAAACAATGCAGGACATTCAGTAGCTGACAGTATTGCAGAAGTTCCTGCAACATCAACAGACTCGCGTCGTGCATCGATTGTGGTTCCTACACCGATTACTAGGGTTGATATTCGAAAGTTGGACGCTGCATTAAATACGATACAGGGGAGGGATCCATTTGGCGATCCGATACAACAGAGCACTGAAGGTTCGACTTCGGTAAGAAGCAGCCCCGCCAACTCTGTTGGGAATTACGGAGCATACTATACCTCGACTCCACCGCTGAACCAAGGAGGTTCAAATGAGGGTGTTCCTTCGTCATTGAACAACAACGGCTCTAGTTTTCGACCAATGGAGACTGCTCATGTCCAAGATTCTGGATCTGTCGGTTCTCGGTCATCATTACAGAGTACAGGCAATTACGGAGGAACGGACGGACGTTCTCGAGCGCTTCGTCAGCAACAACTGGGACAATCCGGGGGTTCTTTTGATCTGGGTCATCATCGTGGTAATGATTCTGTTTCGTCGACTTCTGGACAGTCTACCGACGACAGAGTAAAAGAACTACTATTACAGCGCGGGTTCCTTTAATATAAGTGTGTTTTTACTTGAATACTATAAACGGGTGGTGGCGGTCGTCATTGGGATCAAAATTCTGTGTGACAAGGGGGAAACCCTTTACAAAAAAGAACATTTATTTCTATCTCTTTAAACATGTAAATTTAAAATAATTGTATTTTGTCTAGTGGAGTTTTACTTGTGATCACATGTGTAATACGTAAATAAATAAATACATAATAAATCGTATTCCTTACCACGCAATCAATTCGGGATACTATTACGATTAACAATGTACTTTTCCATTATTTTTTTTTTCTATATTCTTTCTATAGTATTACTATTATTAATGTATTGGATTATTCACAAACTTAATAATCAATGTCTATCTTTCTGCCTTCCATCCTTCCTCTTGTGACTAATTGGCAGCAGTGTAAACCTTGCAGCCTGAGGGGCGACCGTAAAAATGTTATGATAGTCTTGTATTCCTGTAGCTTTTCTTCTACTTCTGTAATGATAATATTCAAAAATTTTAAAAATTTAAAACAGTTAATAAAACAAAACTCGATAATTGATTCAAGGCTTACATGTCGGCTACTCTGGGATTCAGTTGAAGGATCAAGCCAAGCAGTATGATACTACGACTGTAATGCCTGTCAATATTTTTATTCAGGAGCGGCTCAAATACTGCCAAATCAATTGGGTCAATCTGGTAGAAATAGATTAAACAAGTAAAGAGGTAAATTAATTCTACTTCACCATCTCCCATTCGGAAAATCCAACATTTCGTCACTTACCTTTCCTTTGATCGTATTCAAGACGTTGTTAACCAAGCTGTAGTGTTCTCTTTGAAGTTTCATCTCTTCCTCGTGTTTGTTTCCAGCCTGAGAAGCATCGTCTGTATCATAGCCCAAACCATCAGAAGCCAACCAACATCCTTCAAATACTTTTGTCAAAAACTTGATATCAAAAAGCATCTGAACAGAGCCCTTCTCGGAAACTTTTGCGAAAGAGGGTGATGATACGAATGTAGAATAGCAAGTAAAAATCGTTGTTGAAAGAGACATTAACAGATTCTTGAGGGCAACCTGCGATGCGTCATGGGAGGTAAGAGAATTGCATTTTATGGATTAGCTTTGTCAATCTTGGCAGAGTCGCAACTTGTCTGCATTTATTTCATTTCACCGACAGTACATTTCACGTGACAGTATATTCACCGACAGCCATTTCACGTGACAGTATATTCACCGACAGCCATTTCACGTGACACATTGTTTATCGTACTTATCATTGGCTTTCGATGAAATTTATGTCGGTGAAATGAACCGGACCCATCTGAACAGTACAGTACCTTATCCACTGTAGGACTACCAGCTTTATTAATCTCTTGACAGATTTTGAACAAACAATGCGCTACTGAGCCCGTTGGTTGTGCAGGCAACTTTATGGCCTCAGATGAATTCGTCTTCAATAACACATCTAATACAATGACCAGATGAGAAACTCGGTAAGTTTGACAACTTGGAACAGTCGACGTTGACATGTCTGACATCCAATACCTTCCCAGACAAGTGTTATGACACCTGGCACATCCCACATTGTATTCTGTAACATATCGCTTATCATCTTCTCGGCTGCATGTACGATTTGTACGATCCACGGATCGTGAGACGATATGTACACTTCCATTAGCGATTCGCGTAATTCCAAAAGTTTGGGGTTCATATGTGTGAGCTTCTGAAGAGTAAAGTAAGATCCTGCCATCTCGTATTGCGAGTGATTGAGTGATATTTCCAATTGAGTAGAATTAAGAGCAATGGCTCGAGCTATTCGACCAAACAACATACGCTTTACTGGAAGAGATGTTAAGTAAATATAAGTGTAGAGCACGTTTTATAATCTAATCATTAATTCTCCTACCGTTAGTCAACTCAACGGTATTAGCTGTCGCAGCTTCCATCAAAGACACCAATTGATCTCTATATGCTATGACTGCCTTGGCCAAAGCCTCATGAAAGAATGTAACCAAGTTTTCAACATCCCTATAAAGTAGCATTTGGTAAAACCGGTTGTATTAAATATCCATTCGCGAGAGAGGGGAAAAAAACTTACTTGGTTGCGTCAAACAGTATCCCATAATTGTCTTTATCTTCATAAACATCTACGTTCTTGTTAAGCTTCACCATGGAAAAGATCGGCTCAAAGTCATCCAATAAGCGCATAAGCGACTTATCAAATGCTTGAGCAGCTTCACGAACAATTGTAGTTTCTGCGGAAACAAGATAGTGTATTTTTCCTTTAAAGTCATGAGAAATACTGCGATTTTGGACAAACAAGGCGTCTTTGTGTTTCCATACGAAATTTTCCAGATTATGTTCTGAATTAACAGTATTTGAGATTAGTCATTATCGAGGCCGCTGTCAAACACATTACAACAAACTTACCTTCATTGGAGGGGTCTTCTAGGTTTTTTAGATTATCATAGAGCAGGGTTTTTGGTTGACTCGATAAATCTTCCAGTAACATGTTGGCAATCTCTTGAAATCGATTGTTAAATCCCTTTCTAAAAAGTTCATGCCAAATCGAAAAGTTTTTGTTCAAAACAAGAGTGCAAGCCTGAAATGTGATGTACGCATTGCATTGTTAACGTTTTGAATAAACTAAAGAGATGAGGTAAATGCAACGTTAGATACTGACCACGTTCCACGACCACGTCGATTTCGGTATAGTCAGCACAAAACCCAGACTAGTCGTTCTGGAAACTCGTCCTTTGTCCGACGGTTTTGTTTCATCCACGGCTGCACTCTCATCATGTCTCAAAGCATCCCATAGACTTGCACGTATATTGTTCAATTCTCTGGCAGACTTGATATTGGCCAGCTGCAACCCAAGCTTCCCTCCTTCAAACTCATCGATGACATGATCAATCCACAAATTCATTCTTAATCTCACATCTTCTTGAGATAGCTGCCCTCTTGGTCCAGTCATATGAAGAAAAGGCGTGAGCGTTTGAATGGATTCGGGAAGATACCTGATCAACAAGTGAATGTTTGTCGAAGCAGAATACAATCTTGTCAATGATGTCTTGGACTCACGAGGCGACATTGCTGAATAAGGCGACTTGAGGTTATCGGTGTGTATCGTAAAGCCTTGTTGTAGCTGTTTCAAGTAAATCTCGAACAGAGACTTTTCATTGCCAACGTTATTAAAGACCAAACCCACTTGAACCACGGTCGATCGAACGAGAGAAATGACATCTTTAAGGCATTCGGTCAGAGGCTGATTGTCCTTGTTCTCTAAAAACTGGCTTAGAGCAGATGTGCGCATATCCAGAAACATTCTAAACACATCTTTCATTGTCACGTCATCCAAAAGCATTATTGCACACAGTGCTTCTGCCAAGCTCTGTAAAGAAATGAGTAATAAATTACATTCATCGTAACCAATACCCCGTCCTCTCTCCTTCCACTCCCTCTCGAACAATTACCTGTTCTGATTGATCAATAGTTTTAAGGAAAAGCGTAGCTTTTTGAAGTATCTGAGTTTTAAAATGGCTTACAGCATCCCACTGACGTTGCACTACTGGAAAGCTGGTCTTAAAAATTGAAGAAATTCACTTTAGAGAAATTACGAGATACATTCTTGGAATTATAAAAATACAAAAAGAGTCACCGGAATGCTAAATGGCATAGATTCATTATGAACTTGAAGGTTTTTATAAACACGTTTCGCAATGAGGTAAAGACGGCTTGCATTAAGATATTTATGACTTTCTAAAGATCTCCATATCTGTAAAAGAAGCCAAAATTGTTATTACTCAATATCGTCATGAAAAATACATTTTATTCACGTTTATTACCTGCTCGGGTACATCAACTAGTAACTTGATTTGTGCAGCAGTAGAGTATAGATGATATTTTTTATCATCTGTAATAAAGTGAAAATCTCGACTTTAGCTGCCCATACTGGTGACCATAATTCGCTATTCCCATGCTAACCGTGATATACCTTTTGTTCCTTTCTTTTCATCTTGTAACTGAACGCTAACATCTTGCTTAAGAGTCTTGACATCACAAGAATTTTGCATTTGAAGTAATCTTTCTTCAATCGACAACGAGCATTGACGCATGTTTACAATACTATCGGCAGCATCTATAAGATCTCGATAACGCTCTCTGTGATCGGATGGTACGTAGCTAATTAATGATCAGTTATGTGATGGAAATTGTATCGAAAACCGTCTTATTCTTACCCAACCATAAGCCTCAGTTCTTGTTTTTTGTTCCCTATATCTATTCTGTGACGGATTTATCGATTGAATTATCTGCTTTTAAATACAAGACTGACATTTAATCGAGACAATTGAGACTATGAACCTAGTTTTATTTTCCAGTGATCTCAGCTCGGGAATACTGTATCGAACAAACAACTCGTCTGCATTTGTGGCTGTTGATAAATCAACTCTGAAATGAGGGGATGTGACTGACATTTTGTAAAGTATATGTAGAGTAAGAAGATTCTGCAAGAAGCAAGCGAGTATTTCAGTAGTGTTACACCGAATAATATTATCCTATCACATGTATTACCCGGTTTGCGTTTCAAGCATCTCATTGTTTTAGAGGGTCGAATTGCAAATTACATACCATATATATATACTCTGAGGATGGCTAAAGCGGAGTAGAACGTGACCTGATTCTTGCAATTACATTGGTCAAATTTGTATATCAACCAATGAAATTGTAAAAAAACTACGCTTTAGCCTACCCGAGCGTTCACGAAATGTAGATTAAATTGATCGCGGCAATTTATTGTAAAGTTGATATGTGTACATGAGCTAAAGTAATAAACAAAATGGAACTACAAATGATTTCTTCTAAACAATATCTTAATCTTAAATTTTGTAAGTGTTCATCGCAAGGTCCAGATCACAATCTTTCTCCCCGTTCAGGCGTTGTCGTTTAAAATTCCCCCCTCGTAGATTTGCGGAGCCCCACGCGGTGCCATCCTCGTTTGAAGTATCGTCGTGTAATAAATAGATAATAAAAAAATCACTCCTCCAACGTCTCTTCTCCTTGGTTCTCGGATATATCCAAGAGATATTCACCTCCTCTTGGTAGACATTTGTTTCAGAGCTCTTTTGGAACTCTTCGTCGGACTGTTGTTTCGACATCATCGAGGAGGAAGGCGATATAAGACATTTTGTTGTAATAGTAGACGATGTAGGATGAGGAAGGCGATCTAGGACATTTTTGGATGAGGAAGAATCTCTAAAATAGGAGGGTAACATTTCTATGTCGAATATTTTTCTCTTGATATTATTCTTCCATTCAAACTCGACACAGGTAGAAACTATAGATGCAATTACGGGTACAATATGTTTTGCATGAGTCTTTGAAATTCCGCTCATTTCTTCTCAACCCACACCGCCTTCATAGATCGATGAATAATACCCAGCTTGGGATCTTTTTTAAATAAAAGAAGAGGAGTATTAATCACTTTGTTGGTAATGTCTTTGCGAACTGTTGTTCGACGTCGTCGAGGGTGAAGTTGATAACGACATTTTTATGGAGTATCGTCGTACTCCAAGAGCTCTGCCTTTCGGAACTCCGATTTGCGAGGCCCCACGCGAATATTTGTGGGCCCCACACGGTCTCTTGTTTGGAGTATCGTCGTACTCCAAGAGCTCTTTACATTTTATTAACAAATAAATAAATAAATATTATTCCCCCAACGTCTTTCAAATATTTCCAAGAGGTATTCCACCTCTTGGTAGACGTTGGTTTCGGAGCTCTCGTTGAAATGTTCCTCGACGTTGTTGGAGAGAATGATTCACTCATAGGCCAATGTCGGGAAATGCCATAAAAGCGCAAAGTCGTTGGAGTTTGAATAGTGGACAAGTCATTCACACTCATGGGGTCTGTTTCTTCTCTTTGTGGTGTGCTGCAGTAAACATTTATCGGGTTCACCAACAGGTTATATTCATTAGTTTTGTTTCTTACGGTAGTGAGTGCACCTTTAAATGCTTGTCGGGTTTAACGTTTTATTTGTTGACATTATGGATGGACATAAAGGAAAGAGTGAAGTTAATGAAGTATCTGCATATTGAAGTGAAGACAGTAGACATTATGATATAGTAATAGGGAAAAACGGAGTAGATGTTGCATTTGTTTCCTCTTCTTTTTATTTGATGTCAGCTGATGACACTATAGTTGGCCAATGATAATTGATACGCGAATTATGTGTCCCAATGGTCTTCTTTTATGCAAGACAACCTAATCACCTGTAGTCCCCCCACATATCTCTATTGTCTCCAAAGGAGATCTAGCAGACGCTATGGAAAACATTGTTTTGAATTTCGATACACCTCATGGATATCTCGGGTGCAGCCGTTAACCGGATAGATTGGCGATTGGCTCAAATACAACTGGGGAATCGATTACGTTCATTGCGTTGAGAGCGCAAACTCGGATCATGAGCACCAAAATTACGATTACGATTACATGGTCGAAAAGAAGATGTTCTCACTACTTACGAAAGAACTTGGTTTTTGAAGCGTTCCGAGTCTGATCCATCGCATCTCCTGGTTTCAGACGTGCGAATGCGCAACAATCGCGTGCTCACGTTAATTCAAGCATTGTATTACATTTTCCAACTAGCGAGTATGCCCTACCGTCCATGATAAAGAGCACGTGATTATTAAATATCAAGTAGTAATATATTAATATTTATTTTCTTTTAAATCGGATAATAATGTTGTGGTTACAAAATTGGGTTTACTCAACATCTATCATAAGTAGCGAGCTAAAAAAACAACAACTTATTTTAAAGTTTTACATCTAATCTGTTGTATGTTTTTTAGTATGGAATTCTATCCCCATTATTTCCTAAAATAAACTCACAACGTGTTTTGACTGACTGAATCATATTAATATTAACTATGCTGTTGTGGAACCGCCTCCCATTCCTCTGCCAAAAACTGCTTTAACTTTCAGCATTCTTTTTTCAACATTTTTTTTATAATTTGTCACAAGTTTTCAAATCGGGGCTATTTGGTGGTGTCGGATCGTTACACGTGGGAGAGCGTTCGTGCAACGACATTGGGATTTAGTCGTCTTCCGGCGGAACTCTTAGGCTCGTTCCTACTATCGCTAAACCTCTATCCAATTAGCGACTTTAATAAGATTTATCAATACTCACGGATTTACAATCCGATTATCTGTATACGCCTTCTCTGGATTCTATTTAACCTCCGAGTCAAACAACGATTATGATTCTCTAGGGATTATTAACGAAAATCTATCGACGGGGAAAGTTTATAATAGTAACACGTTAAACATGCAATTAAATAGAAATCCTGATGCCTAAGTTCCGATAAGTTCGATGGGCAAGATCAACCTTATTAACCGCTGATCGAGAAAGCGATTTATCACTTAATATTAACCAGCGATCGAATAAAACTCACCAGGGAATGAACAAAAATAACAACTTATATTAATTACAGATTTATTAGAATTCAAAGAGCTATTCTGATTACAAGGATTATAAGGACAAATAGAATCAAATATGCTGAAGATACTAAAGATTCTGAAGACACTGAAGACTAGACTGAAGACAATGTTCAGGGCGGAAAACTACAACCGCTTATATGTTTACCTACCGTTTCACTATTTTGACACCATATTTCGATATATTAATATCAGTTGCGTAGTAATTTGACACCAGATGTGGATATATTGGGTCATCTACAGTGTATCTGACACCAAATCTGTCCCGATGCATCTGGTGTCGCTTGTGTGCCAAATATTCACTGTGTCACAGATCAGAAATGTTTGTACCATTGAGCGGAAATCACTAAGGAATACGTCGCCTTTTAGACCCAGGCTTGACAATGGCCAGTCAATTACGTTTACCCCACTGCTTGCTAAAAATTTTTTTTAGTAACCCGGGAGAATCATTGTCCTGTTGCAGCCTCCATTTGTTGTGATACATACTCTGAGCGCAGGTAAAGCCCTGCGAAATGTTGACATAAAATTGACTGTCTATAGTATTTGTAAAACAAAATAGAGGCGTTTTTCCTAGAGATGCCTCCCCAAGCAAAAACCTTTTGTTGTGTTTTGGGCAATCTCCTAACTGGCTTTACCCCACTTTGGTGCCAACGTCGAACTTTATTTCTAAAGAGGTCGAACGCAGTTTCATCTGTAAATATAATGTTATGCCATTTATCGTTCTTGCCCATGCAATCCGTGCATTAACATGGTTTTGCGTAAGCATTGGAGTTCCAATGGGCACAGAACTCTTTTTTTGTGTGTCTCCATACAGTATTATGTGAAATTACAGCACCATACTTATTTTCTATTTGTATTTCCGGTTGTCTTGTTGAAACTGTAGAATTGTGTCGTATATACTGACATACAGTCTTGGATGTAACCTTCCGCGGACGTCCTGATTTCTTTCTATGCGCTACAGTTTGCGTTTCTTTAATTTTTTTTCAGAATGGAATTCCAGTTTTCTGGTGAATTTCTTTGGGAGATCGGATATTATTCTGCCAGAAATGTAGTATGGTCTGACGTTGGGTTTCAAGTCGAGAATTTACCATATTGCAAAGTTAATTCAGAATCAAAACGATTAAAAGTTTAACGTAAAAAGTTTGTTTACAGTTAGTGCAGAAGGTGTTTTATACGAAAATAACAAACCAAGACACGTAAACAACGCGTGTCTAAATTATTAATAAAATAATAGTCGTCTATAAACCACAATTATTTTTGAGACACACTGTATCTGGAAAGAAATGTTGTGGCGGGCCGAGGCGCAAATGGCGATATTTACAAAGTGCTCTATGGCGGCAGGGATATTGCTCTAAAATATCATCCAACGGGCGACATGCTACAAACAGAATATCTTAAACATGAGGCGCGCGTATATCGAAAACTTCAGAATCTACAAGGTAATATTTTATCTGCATTAATTGTTTAATGCCTTTTTGCAACATGCAGCTCATTTAGATGTCCACTCATAATATTCCTTCACTCGTTCATCACAGACTTTCACTGAACGGAGAAATGTATGTTGTGTACCAATTACATCAACCCTTCAACGTCGGCACGAAGCGATACGAGTTTTACGTGCCATTCACCATCTTGGGTTGTTCCACAACGACATTTGCCCGGACAACATAATTGTTGGCATAGATAAATTTGACCCAACAGAAGAACGTATTTTTGTGATTGATTTTTCATCTTTCGCTAATCGACGATGGCGAGCAACCTATATTTACATGCATCAATCTACAGCGAGAAACTTCATAAAGTGAGACTACTATTTCGAAGCCTTGCGTATTGATTAATGAGAGCGAATACACGTAATTTATGTTTGGTATGTATTGACAAATAATTTTCTCGACAATTTGATCTCAAGCCTATTCCTGCATCTATTTGTATTATGTTTACTTCTCTATGATAGGCGACCTTTTTTTAATTTAATACAGCTATTAAAATGTCTTTCGCATCAACCACATAATTGATTCTATTCAACTTATGCTATAATGTATACTGGTTTCGAGTCTACAATCGATCAACAAAAATTCTATGTAAACTAGCTACTCCTGTACTAAATTTAGTACAATGGGATTTATTCGACAATGGTATTTATAGGCTAATGCAGTGATGAGGAAAAGAATCGGTCCAAACCTGTTCTCTATTTCCAGATGTTTATGTCATAAAAAAGATGGCTGCTAAAGCAGTTTTTGCCTTTCGAAGCTTGCAATTAACCAGTAATAGTAATGTTTTCATATGTGAATTTTTTGTACGACCGTTGATTACAAAATTACATTCTAATAAACCATACTGTACTAGATTTAGAACAGCAAACGGACCGATATTTTAGTGCCAAATGCACAGACCGATAATAATAGTGTATACCATATAATTTCCACAATTTAAATTAATGGCTTGCTTAGTGTTAGTTGGATCAGATCCGAACATACAATATTATCCATTACATTAACCGCTGAATCGAAATAGCTGGCTATGAGATACCTTTTTTATTTAAAATCACGTCATTTTGAGATCCACAGATTCAATAAAGAAAGACCAAGATGGAATAATATAAGTATGGTGGGTTCTCTCCTCCCTCCCCCAAAGTAGTTGGGGAAAGTGAGATGGAAATAGATGATGATTAGAAAAGAACGGTAGAAATAGTAAATATGTAAGAAAAACTTGTCCGTGTCTTTTTGGTGGCGCGATACTTTTCTATACAACAGGAGTTATCGTCCTGTGAGATGTAATGTAACTAATAAGTAGCTGATGACTGTACAAGTATCTTTATACAAACTCTCTTTTTTTTTAAAAAAAAAAACAAAACAAATAAATAAATATTCTAAGTGAGAATGAGAGTGGGGAGGGGTGGGAGTTGGGGGGAGGGGTTGAGTGGGAGTGAGTGTAAGTGTGAGTGTGAGAGATTCAACGCGATGGTAGATGTCCTGCATTCGACTTCATATAAACGTTCTGATAAAAGTTGAACTAGTTTCTATGCTCTATTTGCTCGCGCATCGTAATAATTCATCTTAATAAACACGTGATTGTTACATATTCAACCAAATTGATTCAACACAAGAACAACCAGCGTTAAACAACGTATCTCAAAAACTGCCTTACGCTTTGTTTCAATCCAAGGTCCTTACGTTGCTGCTTCAGATAATCGTGCACGATAAGACACTGATACCCATAACAAACTATCCATGAGTCAAACCATAATGTCTCCAATCTAGCGTGCGTGCTCTGTAAGAATTGTTGCATAACCTCATCAGGCATGTCGATACACACGTTCAGATGCTGCAGACTATTTGGCATTAAAACCCCAAGTTCGGGCCATGAATCTTTAATCTGCACTCCCGTACGCTGCGTCGATCTAAACA